AAAAAAAAAAAAAAAAAAGAAATGCACACCCCCTTTAGGCTAGCAATTCCAATTTTCTGGACCAGACCAATGTGTAAAGATGCCCACTCAGGGATGTTCACTGCATTTGGTTTTACAAGATGAAAAAGTTCTGGAGATCGGTTGCAGGACAACGTGAATACACTTAACACTCCTATACTATAGCCCTAAAAATGGTCGAGATGTTTAATTTTATGTTATGTATATTTTACAATTAAAAATAGAAAGAAAAAAAAAGATGTTCACAGCAGAGTGGTTTACATGAAAGAGAAACTACCAATGGCCAATCTCTCAATGCTAGAGGATTAATTAAATAAATGATGGTTTACCCAAACAAATCAAAACTAGTAAGAAGGGAAGGGCGGGGGGGTCAGCAAACTTCGACCCCTGGACCAAATCTAGCAGGTTGTTTTTGTAAATGAAGCTTTAATGGCATAAAACGACACCCACTCATTTGCATTCTGTGCTACAACAGCAGAGATGAGACCATATGAGATCAGTGGAGGCAAACCCACAGGCCCCTAAGCCCAAAATACATCCTATCCAGCCCTTTAAAAAATACATCCTATCCAGCCCTTTAAAAAACTCTGCTGACCCTGACTTAGAAGACCGAAGACCCAGAAAAATGCTAAGAAATATATTGGGGGGTGGAGACAGGAAGTTGGCTCCCCAGGGTCGCCACAGTGTGAGTTCAACTTTAAAAAGCAAAACGTAAATAATGTATATTTACCCACGCATTTATAAATGCACTGTTAGATGGTTCTGTCTGCATGGCGGGAACAGGATGAATTTTATTGTCTTCTCTTGACTTTTCTGTATTAAAAATACATTACTTCCCAACACTAGAAGAAATGATAATCCTGTGGCCCAACAGAAGCGTTACCTAACGCTACAGTGACAATCACATGTTGCAGTATAAATGTATCAAATCCAAATGTTTTAACACCTTAAACTCACAGAATGTTGTAGGTCAAATATATCTCATTTTTTAAAAAGGTATCACTTTTATTATCAGGTCAGACAAACAGTAAATACCATTTTCTCACTGACTTGGCCCCTCCAGGGAGCGAGTGAGGAGGGTGAGGCTCTCCCTGGATGGGTCACAAGTCCATTGTATGAACACCCCCTCCCCTGCTGGAGTTTACAACCTGGAGGGGTCCGGGAGGGGGTGGGGGAGAAGGCCCCGTGGGAATTCTTATAACAAGCCCAGAGAGGTGCCCCTCTAGCTAAAATGACCACAGACACCCAAAAGGGTGGATCTGATTTTCAGCTGAGGCGAGTGAGGGGGTTGCTCTAGGGGATCTCGCCAGGGAGGTGAAATTAGAACATGTACTGGGGGTGCTGGGTCCTGACTTTGTTAGGCCTGTTGAGTGCTTCAAAACTCCACCATGATGACAAAGGGACCGTTACGCCCGATACCATACTCGCTTTCAAAGCTTCCTGGGTGCCCTTGCTGCTCCATCTTACAGGTGGGAAAGCTGAGGCTCGGAGGAGTTCAAGGACTCTCCCCTCCAGGTTATACAGCCGGCATAGGATGGAGACAGGATTTGAATCCAGGACTGTCTGACTCTCCAGCTTCACAGACTCTCCACGATGTGGGTTTTATCCCTGTCAGGAATCAGTTTTTCGGCCGGTTCCTTAATAACTCAGAGTCCGCTGAACAACGGACAAACCATCCACATCTCAGCCGCCTCCCAGCTGTGCACGCCCTGTCAAGGGCTAGAGTGAGTGATTACCGTCCCTGTTCTCAGATGGGAACCTGGAGCTTTCAGTGAGGAGGGCCACACACCTGCACGTCTGGTAGTGCTCCAGCTTCAGAGGGGACAGCTTCTGTTCCCTAAAGATGACCCCCTCCCAATCTTGCTGCCTGCCATATAGATGGCCAGGGAGCCCTTCCAGAAAGCATAAGCCAAAAGGGCCACGTGGAGGAAGCATCATACGGGCCTGAGAGCAAACCCACTTCTCAGCCTCCAGGGCATCCTCTGTGAAATGGGCTCCCACCAAGTGTGGATGGATCAGCAAGCCTCGGAGGAGAGAACAGCAGCTGGTTTCTATCTGTGTATTGTCTCTAAAGCCACCAGCCCAGATGGGGGCTGGGAGCCTTGCACAAGACTCTTTATCTGGAAGCAGAACTCAGACTCCAGCTTTGCAGCAGCAGGCACCTGGCTGCCTGGGCTGCCCCAGGCTACTCATTAACGAGCGCAAGGCCTTGGGAAAGGGCCTGCCTAGGAGTCTGCTCCCAGCCTGGGGGGAGGGAAGAGCAGTGCTGGATGGTGTGGGCGACAGGGTCAGAAAGTAGGTGGGGTTCAAATCCTTCCTTGCAGTGTGACCCTGGGGGGAGTCAATTCACCTCTCTGCGCCTCAGTTTCCCCATCTGTACAATGGAGATAATATCAGTGTCTAACTCCTAGGGCTACTTTGAGGACTGCATGAGTCTGTAAAGTACCTAGCAGTACCTGATACACTGTAAGTGCTCAATGAATGTACCTGCAATTTTTACAGAAAGAACAGCAGAGCCCACATCCTAAGACTGTTGTGGGCTAAAATGCACCACTATACATTAAACCTCTCCGTGCTGAATCGAGCATGCTAGTAAAGAGTTTAATAAGTGCTCGTGATTATTCTTACTGACATTTGTGACCAGTATGGCAACGACTCTGGAGGCTGACATGGACTAGAACAACTCTATGCCCACTCAGCCAGGGAAGTGTCCTGAGCCACCAGGGATACGCCTGCCTAATGTCACAGCATAAAGAACCGGAGGTCTCCATGGGGTCACAGGGCCTCGGGGGGGCGGGGCTTGATCACAGGGATGGGGTCAGGTCCACCATGGGTAGCAGTGGGCCAGGGTCTTCAGGGCCTTTCTCCTAGTCCTGGCTTCCTAGGTGACCCCAAATCAACCAAACTCCAAGACCTTGGTCAGGGCACTACCTTCCCTCCTGGGAGAAATTTCTGCCTAAGAAGCCAGGATTTTCACATTCCAGAACAGAGTCTACTAGTGGGTCATGAAATCAACTCAAAGGGTCAGGACTATCACTTTTGTAAAAGAAAACAGAATAGAGCAGAGCCCTAAAGATGCTGAAGATGTGAGTTATCATTTTGCGAGACGGGTTTCACTTTCAAGCGTGTGTGGATATGTGAGCACAGGTGGCATCCTGTCGTAAAATCTATTTCTTACCGAATGTCATAACAAAAAGACTTTCAAAACCCCAATAGTAAGGATGTTTTAGATCAAGGTGAAGAAGTCATCTGCAGAAAAGTCAGGTTCCTACCCCATGAAACCCCTTTTAAAAACACTGTGATCCTGAACTGGGGGAAAAAAAAAAGCTTCTGTAAATATGAGACAGTCAGCAAAATGTCATTAAGGTCTGTAGATTAGATAAGAGAATTGTGTCAATGTTAAACGTCCTGGGGTTGATAATTGCGTGTGCTTATATAAGAGAATGAATGGCATTGCTCTTACGAAATACATAGGAAGGATTAGGAGGAGTAAAGGGGCATCATGCCTGTAATTTACTCCCTGATGAGTCAGCAAAAAAAAAAAAAGAAGTTTTAATGTGACTATTTTTATAGCATATATAGAGAGATGAAGCAAATGTAACAAATGTTAACAATGGGAAAATCTCAGTGAAAGGTATACAGGAGTTCACTGTATTCTCCTTTCCACTTTTCTGAAAGTTTTCAATTTTTTAAAAAGAAAAAGTTTAGGGGTGCCTGGGTGGCTCAGTCGGTTGAACGACCAACTCTGGGTTTTGGCTGGGTTGATGATTTCATGGGTGGTGGGATCAGCCGGGAGGGGCTCTGCGCTAAGCAGGGAGTCTGCTTAAAGATTCTCTCCCTCTGCCCCTCCCCTCACGCAGGCACTCACGCTCTCTCTCTCTCAAATGAACAAATCCTTAAAAAAAGACCCAAAAAATAAAAAATAAAGAGTTTAATAAAGAGACAATTGGGACAGTAGCCCCAAGTCCTGATGGGAGCATCCTATCTGTGCTGGGAACCAAGCATCTCACCCTTTTACATATGTCTGAGCCCAATCCTCAGAACTAACTCAACGAGGCCCCATCACTGCTCGGTGGCAGAGCCAGCATGGGGTCCAGGCCAGACTCGAAAATCAGTGCTCAGCATTTGTAAGGCTGTCTCCCCGGCACAGGCAGGCGGGGGGGGGCCGACCCGGGCCATGAAGCCACCACCCCGAAGTGACATGTGGATGAGGCCCCGGAGCCCTGGGGTTCTGCTTCCTCCTCCTCAAGCCTGGAGGAGACCCTGAGAGCCCAAGGACCGCACATCGGGGAGACGCCAACACCACTGAGAGGACGAATGCCACTTACGTTTTGGAGGCTCCTCAGCAAGGGCTGTTGTTCTGGACCTAATACAACGAGAGGAAGCAAAGAAGGAAAGAGAAGATCTGGTCAGATTGTGACTATAAGCGGGACTCGGAGTCCTCTTGCACGTGTGACTGTCCACCTCACGCACGCTGGGAGGGGCCAAGTCAACAGCGGGCTGCCCAGGCAGCCGTGCACACACGCAGACACACACAGACCCACGTGTTCACACACACACACACACAGAGGCTCCCCCCAGCTGCAACCGTAAGCCACTGCCCGGCCCCAGAGGCCTGCACCAGAGCAGCCTAGGCATGGGCCCAAGTCTGTGGAAGACTATTCCCTGTGAGCTCAGGGACATACCACAGCTAGACAGAGGGGCTGAGGGAGGCCCTGGGGGCCCCAGACTCTTGGAGAAGACGATAACTCATCGACTGGTTAAAGGGTCCAAGAATCACTGTACCAAGGGCATCTGTTGAACTTTGCTGAGTCAAGCAGTCCCCAAATGTGAATGACCCCTGAAGCCTTGTTTTTTTTGTTAGTTTGTTGTTTTTTTTTTTTTAATAGAACACCTTCTGTTCTCTGGCACTCAGTTTGGGGAAAAAATGCAAGTTGGGGTAGATCACCGCTGTCTCTCATCCACCAGCAGAGCTGTGCTGGAAGGCTCCCCTGGTTTCCTAGAATATGAAAATGCAGAAAACCAGAAAATGGCTCCTTATCAACCAGGATCACACATTTCAATGAACAGGTAAATGGATTAGCAGAGCAGGGAAGGGGGTAATGGTGGGAGGGCAGAAAGAGGCCTGCAGGGTGGACAAGTCTTTCCTCAATGTACCTGAGGCCCTGCCCTTGGAACCCCTTCCTCAGACTCAGAAACATGGCCCCAGCAGTCTGCAGAGCTCCCTGTCCCCCAAATCAGACAACCTCATTGCTATGGCAGCGCCCCCACATTCAATGGGCTAACCTAGGTGCCCAATGGTCAAGGCACTGTGGGGTAGGAATATTCAGTCAGTAATTTGTTAAGGGGCGCCTGGCTGGCTGTCAGTAGAGCATGCGACCGTTGGTCTCAAGGCTGTAAGTTCAAGTCCCACGTTGGGGGGAGAGATTACTTAAGAATAAAATATATATACAATATATATATTTTTAAAAATTTCTTGAGCACCTACTGTGTGCCAGGCACTGTTTTAGGTCCTGGGAACCCGGCAATGAACAACACAGCCGAGGTGCTTGCTCTCATGGAGCCCAGAACCCCATGGTAAAGGCCAACATGCGACACGGACGCCACGGAGGCTTTGTTTTCTGGGTGGACACGTGACGCTGTGAAGGCGGGGGTGGGTTAGTAATGCCTGCAACAGGCGTGGGTGCCAGGGTAACGTGTAACTTGCTATCCTGGACTATACCAAGGGAAGAGGGACAAAGGGAAAGATGAAGGTAGCATGTTTAATGCACATTTATAGGCATAATGGTAAAGGAACCAGGAAAAGGAGCATAATTCTATCTGGCGTGAGACTTTAGCAGTTGCCTAAGGGCAACCCAGCTCCAAGAGAAGGATAAGAATGGCACTAAGTCCCCGTGGGTATAGCCTGCTGGCACCCATGCCCCTTCTTCTGGGGACAGCCTCACATCCATTCCACCTGGACACCCATGCACATCCACTCTCACCCCACGGGGTTCTGGGTGGGCATGTGAGCCAGGCCTAGCCAATCAGAGGGGCTGTGACAGTTGGCTCAAGGACAAGCACCTGACCAAGCCTGGACAATGAGAGTGATGACAAGGGCTCGTGCTAAGAATATTGGGAAAAAAGAAGGCTCTTTCTAGACTGAGATGGCTATGCTGGGAGGGGATGCATCCTATGCAGCTGAGAGTAACCAACACAGGAGCCCAGAAATGGACAGAAAGAAACAATTCTGATGACATATCTCAGCACCTGGATCCAGCCATGCCTGAAGTATGACCCTGGGGCTTTTCAGTTAAGAGTCAGTAAATGTTCTTTCTTTTCTTTGTTCTTTCTTTTCTTTTTCTTTCTTTCTTTCTTCTTTCTTCCTTCCTTCTTTCTCGCTCGCTCTCTTTTTCTTTCCTTCCTTCCTTCCTTCCTTCCTTCCTTCTTCCCTCCCTCCCCTACTCCCTCCCTCCCTTGTTTTTTTAAAGTTAGTTTGAACTGATTTCTACAACTTGCAACTCTAAGAATCCAGACCTATGCCCTGTCTCAGATATGCCGTATAACTTTATGCATGCCCCTTTAACTGATGTTCAGGCCATCAGAAAAGTGGGGCACAGATGAAATGACATCTGAGGTCACCCTGCAGCCCTGGTACTCTCAGCCAGTAGCAAAGGTTAGGACTGACCCTCCCGGACCCCTGGGCATTTGGCCGGAGATGGAGAAATCAGCCCTTCTCAAAGTTAAGCCTGGAGGGCTTCTTAAAACTTGCTAGGCCCCACCCCCAGGGTCTGAGTCAGCAGGTCTGGCGTGGGGCCCCTGATTCTAACGAGCTCCCAGGTGATGACCGGACCGCACATCCCGTGACCACATTTCGAGAACCTAGACTCTAAATCTGTTCTACACTTTCCAGTTGCTTGGGGCACGTGCCCCGTGTAAAAATAAAGCCCCAGCCAAGCAGAAGATCTCGGCAACCTCAGTCCTCAATGAGATCCCCGGTTGCAAGGATGCACCAGTATTTAAACAACTGACGCACCAGGTCCCAGCGTCCATCCATCCTACTGCCGATGCTTCCAGCCAGCCCTCCACCCTGGGATTCAACTAAAAAGTGAGGCCGTGTAAGAGTGAGAAGGCGCCTTCTTGGGTTCCAGCAGGCCCCACGCTGGTGTTCCAGGAGCTGTGAGCATCCCCCGACGGCTCCCCACACCAGGCAGCATGCCAGCACCAAGTAAGTCCCACTTCAGACCTGATCCTGACACACGGCCTCAGGCTGCCCTGCTGTCAGCACTGCCTGGCTGGCCCTGGGCTCTCCCTGATTTACATCCGACTTGGCTGCCTCGAAACGCCTCCTGTGGCTTTTGGACCGGGGACACTGTTCAGTGGAAAACGGCTTCCCCACCAGCATCCTTTCCAAAGTGGCGCTGGCCCAGAGGGCCTGGCCTGGCCTGGCTCAGCCGCCTCCCAACTGCGTGGCCTTGGGCGAGTTACCTGCCGTCTCTGGGGCTTCAACTTTTCACATGCAAAATGGGAATGATGGTATCTGTTGGGACGGTTGGGGAGATGATGCTGACCAGGAACCCGCCCTGGTTTAGGAAGGGTTGCAGGTGCCCAAGAGCTGGGATTGACCTCCTTTACTCCAAGTGTGGTCCCCAGACCAGCAGCCTTGACAACGGCCTGGGAATTGGTTAGAAACGCAGACTCTCAGGGCCCAGTTCAGTCGTCCCGCATAGAAAGGGGCATCTTAACAAGCTCTCCAGGGATGTCTATGGCTTTCAAGTCTGAGGAGCACCAGTATGTGTCATCATCATTGCTGTTGCTGCCATATCCCAGGACCGGGCCAAGATGTAGCAACGACCCCCAGGCTGGGGCAACGGCAATCAGGGGTCAGAGGTAAGGAAATGTTGGAGAGGGCAGAAAGCTCTTCCCGTGCCTCTGAGCCTCACGACTACCGAGGAGCCCCTCTGGCGCCCTGCAGTGAGACTTAGCGAATAGGTACCGATCACCGGACTGCACTCTCGGGCTCAGCCAAGGTAACAAGATACACTGAAAACATTCCAGGTCTCAGATTTAGGGCTTCCTTCCAGCAGAGTATGGCTGCCTCTGAGTCTCTCTGCAGAAGGCTGAATCTTTAGCATTCAAGGGGGCAGATTACCCTCCCTGCCTGGAGCCCAAGGCCCAGAACCCACAGCAGAGGCTGAAAGCGGAGGGGCTCCCAGGGAAGGTGCGGGTCTCAGCCTGATGTGGGGGTGCGCCAAGCCCCACATGGAGCGCTGGGGGGGGGTGGCCTGGAGCTGCCCCTGGGAAAGCGCTAAGGGTCCCCACTGGCGGGCTAGAAGCGGACTAGAAGCCCTGGTGAATGAATGGAGCAGAATGCCTCCCCCTGCTCGGGATCCACTGGCAACTCATTTCCATGCCCCGGGCCTGGCCAGACCTAGCCAAGGAAGCAGCCGGTGGGGGGGCTGGAGGGGGTTGCACTGGGGCATGCTGGAGAGTTCGAGGGGGGCTGCCAGGTGGAACAGCAGTATGTCCAGATGTTCAGAGACACCAAACAATGACCAGATGTAGAGGCAAAAAAAAAAGAAAGAAAGAAAGAAAAAAAGAAGAAAAAACCCCACATTGAAAAATACAGGCTTGAATTCTAAAATTCTAAAACTGTCTATGCAGACAACACAAAACATGCCTGTGGTCCAGAGCTGCCCCTGGGAGACCATTTTACAGCAACTGGTACTGTTTTTTCAGGCCTGGGACTTGATCCTGCATCCAAACCCTGGTGCCCCAGGCCGCTGGGATAATTCATTCGACTATTTTATGGTCAGCTCCATGAGCGTATGGCCATGATTTGGTCGTCTGGTTCACCTGGCACATCCCCAGGGCCTAGAACCAATAAGTATGGATGGAGATGGGTGAATATTATTTTCAAGCCCGGACCCACTATAGGCTCTCATTTCAGGGTAGAGGGGATCAGACAGCCTTTATTTGTGTCCTGAGCACCCACTGTGTGCCAGGCTGGACACTGGAGCATCTATCCCTCCCCTGATGTGACCTCAGTCAGGTGAACAGATAAAAGGTGAGACCACAAAGATCTGAACTCTGCCCTACAGAGGAGGCTCTGAGCAAGGTGAGATGATGTATACTTTGTCTCATTGGATCCTTTTTGAGTCCTTACTATGTGCCAGGCACAGTTAAGGGGCTGAAGGAAAGCTTCATGAAGCAGGCAGCTTCAAGGTGACCCTTGAAGAAGGGGAATAAGAAGAGAAGGGAGATGGGTGCCTGGCTGGTTCAGTCAGTAGAGCATGAGACTCTTGGTCTCAGGGTTTTGAGTTCGAGCCCCATGGTGGCATGGAGCCTACTTAAAAAAAAAAAAAAGAAGAAGAAGGGAGGACGGGC